CATCTACATCTTCATCTCAACATTTTTTTGTCATAATGATTTTTTTAATTGATGACATGTTTATTATTTCTATGTTTCTTTTCAAAAATATTCCATGACATTGAATGCCATCATGACATTTAACCACTGATTAAAAGTATCTGTCTAGATTTAGAATTAAAACACCATGAATAGCTACAAAACGTATATCAACTATTTATTCAGACACTAATAAAAAGAATTTAAAGTCTTAAACACCTACCGTCACCGATATGTTGCTCATTTTGAATATTATCAATGTATTTTTTTCTTACTAGCAAGCTTTTATTACTTAATCACATGTATTTATATATATATGGAATTCAAACATTCATGTTATTAAGGTATTAGGACCCTAATGGGCACTATCAGGAACTAAAAAATTGACATCATAAGTCAGATGTATACCTTAAAGTACACCTGTATGCAAAATTTAAACAAAGTTTACCGTACGGAAATCAAGTTATGGCCACTTTTCATAACTCAAGCTTAGGATGTTATGAGGGCCCTTTTTTAGAAAGTAGGAACCTTTAAATAATCTGCAATAACATTCTAATGAAAAATGTTTTCCCATTAATTTTTGGTAAGAAACAAAAAGTACCATTCAGCTAACAATCCAAATAAGCAAAATTATGGTTCTACTTAAAATTTATGAAATCTGTATAAAAATGTTACCCTACCCCACCCATTTTTACCACGTGTCTGACCATTTTTCTACTTAGGGAGCCTAATTTAAAAAATTCTTAAAATTTACCCAAATGGGTGCCTGTTTTCAAAGTTTCCCAAAATTTTAAAAAGTATATTTGGTTGATCTTGTAAAATATGAAATACTTTTACCATCTAGTTTTGATTATATTACACTTTGAAAAATATCAGGTACCATATTTATTTCTAGATTTAGCATAATTTAGCCAATAAATACCTATATAAATTAAAAAATCAAAATTAAACACTTTTTTCTTTCCAAATGGGACATGAGAGATACATAAATAATGTTAAAAGAAAAAAGAAAGAAAAAAAAAGTTGACCCTTCTGGGGATTGAACCCATGGCCCTCATTTTCAATGTAGTTAACAGTAGTTCTAGCCTATTTGAATACTCTTCAAAGCGGAGGTAATGCATTAGGGTGCTAATACCTTAATTCATATTGCATATTTACTTTTATGATTATTAATTAAGCTAAATTTTATCATCAAATATTCACATTTTTAATCAATACTTTTAACATTAATTGATCACAGTTCTTGGAATTGGTTTAATGTTTGTCAAATTTTCTTTAAATATTGTCATACAAATACATTTTAATATATTTATACTATGTAGTTTTTTTCACATGAAACAGTGAAAAACTTTTTCTGTTTTGTTCTTTTCACAGATGAATCATCTGATATTTGCAACTGACTCAAGAGGGGCGTGGCCTTGATAAATTTATTTCTTCTACACAACGTTTTAATTATTATGAAGTACATACAATAATAATGCCAGGTGCAAAACATTCAACATTAGCAAATGCTGTTCAAACTAAAATTGATAAAATAAGAAAAGGAAATTGTATTGTAAAAATAAATTGCATACATGTAATTGCTGCAGGCATTTGCGACTTTACTACAAAAATCTCACATGAAGCTGGAACTGAAATTTAATATACAAAAGATGACCACGATATCTTGACTTTTAAAAATGAAATATCTGTCTTGTATAAAAAAAATGTATGACAATAATATCAAATACAAAATGGCTCATATCCCAACAGCATCTTTGTTCAAATATTCTGAATTAAACTTTCTAAAGGAAAACTAAAATATTCCATACATGAAACATCTGAAACAAAAGCACAACAAACATACCTTGAAAATGTAATAGAAGCAATAAATAACTACATTTCGGATCTTAACAGAATTTATAAATGTCATTCTGTAAGGTGGGACAGAGACCTTTTGTGTTGTAAAACTAAAAAGAGAGGTAGAAATGGTGAATTTAAAAAGAAAACAAAAGTTATATCATTTAAAATTTTGTATGATGTTGTTCATGCAGATGAACATCTAAAGAGAAAATGGTTTACATTTCTTTATCATTCTGTAGAAAATGATTTAACTGATTGTTACGAAAATGACTCCGATACTGAAAGATCTTGGGACTTTAAACGATAAAAAATATTCCTGTTACACATTACTTAAATACATGCATCTTAAGGGCAATCATCAAAATTTCAATTTAAATTTGCTTACATAAGTGAATGTCTTTTAATGTTAATAAATGTTCTGTAGTGTGGGACATGTCAGTCTCTAACCAACAGAAACATTTAATTAAAAAGTATAAATCTATCGTTATTAAATACCAGCTATATTTAAATACCACCTTTATTTAATAATTATATATAAATTATAATTTAAATGACAATTGAAATTTTCTCATTACAATTTTTTCAATGCTAATAAGATTCATTATTACCATTACATTGTGTTAGATAATGTAAATATTCAAAATATATATTTGTTTTCTATATACATGTTGTTTTTTTTTTTTTGTTTTTTTTTTTTTAATGTTGATAAATGTTCTGTAGTGTGTGGGGACATGTCAGTCTCTAACCACCAGAAACATTTCTTAAACAAAAAACTATAATTCAATTTTCAACGTTTATTATCTTTAAACACCAGGATATTTTAAAAATGAAACAAAAATTCCAACGAAATTCCCTTCTTCATCACAGATTGTTATCATTTTTTCAACATTCAACAGTATTTTAAGTAATGTATATGCCAAAATATGCCAACAAATTATGCTGTGAAGATGGACTTTAGCAATGAATAAGACAATGGAAAAGGTAATATTTAAAAAAAAATCTGAAACACTGATATTATTATTTAATCAATTATTTAAGATATTTTGTTAATTGATTTCTTTCAAAAACACTTGATGTATTATAAATTCACATAATTTGATCAGTATTCCAATAAAAACAAATTGATTTGCTTCCGTATTTTATTTTTTGACAGGTGCTAGTGATTAAAATGGAGGATTGTATAAAACAGAAAAAAGCATTAGTGAAAACTGTATAAAATTGATGATTTGTAAATAAAAGAGTAAGTTTACCTTTATCCTGAACATTTTTACCGTGAAAACATTTTTTATTGAAGCAGCTGAATAAACAGTGTTGACTTGGAGGTTTCCTTGTCAAATGACGTCAAACTCGTGAAAAAAAAAACACGCGATTATTTATTCTATGGGGAATTCCATTATATCGAGAACTGAATATCTGAGGATACTGTACTATAAATTATTTATTTAACTATTCTTCATATCAGAATGTGAAGTTCAGCACACTAGTACGGACCAATTCAACAGATAATTTTGATCAGAGGTAATGTTGAACATTATCAATATAATTCAGATAGATAATTTCTTTGATCCTGCATAATTTACATGAAGATCTACATGACTTTCCGCGCCATAGGTAGCACCTAATTTCATATTATAGATGAGTCTGACCTGAATTTAGTGGCCTCATCTCTTTCAATCATTAACATTTCATGACAACTAAATCTAATAAACACTAACCTTTGTGAGAGAGGTCAAAATTAACAAGTTTCATTGGGTAACAAATAAATAACATCTCACGTTTGGCGGGATTTGTAAAAGTATTCACTTCGGTCCAAGGTAATTTCTTTATGACATCCCTTTCCTGGAGGAGGCGGAGTTTCGAAGTCACATGCTTATGACATCACAGGAAAACAAGATGGCGTCTTCAAGAACGGATGCGCGGGAAATGGTCCAGAAAAAATATCATTTTTCTGGTGCAAACTCCCTTCAAAAATTGGAAGACGTCATTTTCCAACATGAAAAACGAACAAACTCTCTTTTTGTAAAAGTAAAGACCACAAATAAGCTTAAATTACCCGGTATGTTCAATCTATTATTGTCAATTTTGTGAGAAATATTTAATACTGAAAAGCGAAGGGAATAAATACGCGGAAAGTATTACTGGACACTCCGGGACCCTTCATCATGGTTCATGACTATTCCCACTATATTGAGAACTGTCTGTATTTGTGTATTTTGCGATATTTGCATGCAGTTTTCTGCATTTTATTCTTTTAAAAAATATCTGTTTTTTCATTAATTTTAAAAAATGGGCAGACTACTGTAGGTAGTCTATACAGGTAGTCTATACAGTTTGTTTACCAGTCAGCCCCCTTGAAAAAATCTACCAGCAATTTTGCCATTACTAAAATTTAAAAGCTTCAACCATGCAATTTTGATTCTGCTTAAGACGGTGCTAGGGGGCGTGTATGGTAATTTGCACTTTACAGTCTGACCGAGACCCTAAGCTGAGCTGTCCGGCCGCTTACACATCATCTCCCCTAAATATTGAATTTTAACGGAAACGTGTTTTTTATAGGACAAAAGAGCAATGAATGTGTATTAAACTCTGAGCTATATTCAATCAAGGTCCCCCTTTGGGCACCAAATATGACAGGGTGAGAAATATGTGCAGCCTAACAAGGACTCAAACACAGGACCAACCGAATTTGGTTACCGTACAACAGCTATATCAGTCTTCACGAAAAACTTTAAAAAGCACAGGATATTCGGCCAGTAAAAATTCAAATCTTACTGGACCTGGTAATTTTTAGCCGGACCAAATACATAGCTAGGAAATAAATTGATGGGTAAAGCAGAACACTTTATCATGTTTCTCTTGATAATTTTGAAAGAAGCATAAATACTTCTTGTATTCTGGGCCATATGTTGACAGCTTTGTAAAATCAATAAGGACCAAATGTTTAGGCAAAATTGACTAGAATTGAACATAAACAACGCAATTTGCTTCAAACAAATCACTTTCACACAAAATATTTACTTAACTCAATAATCACAAAATCTTAGCTAAATAATGACCATAATACACAATGGTTCAATTTCCGTAACTGTACGGTGCAGTATGTAAAATACTCAAGACAATTTTCAGCATTGTTGTTTATGTTCTCCAAACAGGTCGCACAATTTAGTCATCGGAAGAAAATTACCGAAAAAATCCCCCAACCCCCTGCCTGCATGGACCCTTGCCCCACCAGTGTCAAAATGGTAAGAGCTGTCAGACATGGGTAGGATTTCTTTGTTATTTTTCAGTGCATTCAGAACTCGTAAGCAAAAAAAGAGTCTTTTGGGAGGAGCACTCCAGCCAAATATTACCATTACCATTTGATGGTGTGCCATTTATTGTAGTCGGAAGACAGGTGCGGGAGTGCTCCCATGGCCCTGACAGGCACAAGTCAGCAAAATGTAAGAGCAAAAAAGAAAAAGAAGCAGAGAAGGTGAGTTCATCAGTTTATTATCTGTAGTATAAACTTTTTAATTTGTATAGAAGAAAAAAAATTGAAATAGTATAAATGAATTTTGATTAAACTGACTTAAAATAAAATAATGTTCAATGCAAAAATTATTAAATCAGTCTTAATTTTTAACATAGTTTTAAAATATCTAATAAAATAAGTAATTTATAAATTGATGGATGTTTACAGTACTGAACAAATAAAGTATTTAAAAAATATTCCTTTAATAAATAACTGTGAATGAATATGAAAATTAACAAACTTATCTTAAAACAGATATGTTAACTGAAAAAAACAACACTAAGAGATTGAGTAGATTATTAAGAGTAACAACAAATCACCATTTAAAAAGCTAACACTTTAACTTAATTGTCAACTAATTTTAATACCCAGTTAGGCTTTCATCACTATCAAACTAATATGCTTTTTGCAGATTTTTCTCAAATAAGCTTACTGGCCAATTGTTTTTGTCATTGCCTGTAGTTCATTTTTTTGGTGTTCTTTTTAATCAAACCAAATCTGCATCTGTCAAACTCATTACTGTCCTACTTTTGTCTGTCATACTGTCCTACTTTTGTCTGTCATACGGTCCTACTTTTGTCTGTCATACGGTCCTACTTTTGTCTGTCATACGGTCCTACTTTTGTCTGTCATACTGTCCTACTTTTGTCTGTCATACTATCCTACTTTTGTCTGTCATACTATCCTACTTTTGTCTGTCATACTGTCCTACTTTTGTCTGTCATACTGTCCTACTTTTGTCTGTCATACTATCCTACTTTTGTCTGTCATACTATCCTACTTTTGTCTGTCATACTATCCTACTTTTGTCTGTCATACTGTCCTACTTTTGTCTGTCATACTATCCTACTTTTGTCTGTCATACTATCCTACTTTTGTCTGTCATACTGTCCTACTTTTGTCTGTCATACTATCCTACTATTTTGTCAGTAGACTGGCAAAACTGAAATGTGGTGGCAATCATGCTATGGACTTATTTCTACTTTCTTTCACATTTGATGAATAAAGATAAAAATTGTGCTATTTGCAATTATTGCATTGCTCATTATTTCTGATGTATCTATAAGGCATATGTTTGTTTGTTATACCTTTTTTTAAATTTGCTATAAAATTAATTGGAATACCAATGAAAATTATTAACACCAAATGCACTGTTCTTATATTGAATGATTTTAAGCTTGACTTGTGAAATTCCATAGATTAATACCTGCTTAATTATTAACTACATTTACTAGCCCTTTTTGTTGTCTTAATATTCAGTATCTCATGAGAACTTATGATGTAGGGACTTGTCCTCCTGTTTTAAAACTAACTTACTAACTATTAATCAAGTAACTAGTTATGTCAATTAATATCATGACAAGGAACAGATCAAGGATTGTATTTCAAGACAACTGACAAACAAGATAAAAGATAAATCATATCTAAGTAAATATCATTTCATTTTGTGGCATTGTTTTTTTCTGATCCCACAAATTTAATGGTGTATTTAGAATGGTTTATTATCAGCTAGATGGATATTTTACATCAATGGTTTAGGATAAAAAAAAAGCCAGACTAGTTGGAAATGGAAGATACAGCCTCTGTAAGGTATTTATCACTGTGTTGTATCATCTCAGGTGTGTCTAATTGCTGTTGCTTTTTTTAAATTTTATTAAGTTACTTAAGACCAGAAAAAGACATCTTAGATAAATTATATATACATAACATAAAGATAAAACACTGTTTATACTTAAGCAAGCTTCTTAATGAATTTCATGTTGAAGTAAAAACTGAAGCAGTCAGTGTGTCTTGTTAACAAGGCTTTTAAAAGACTTATTGGATTTGCAAATGATGTAAGGGCAATAGTCAAACAGATGTTTTTTTTTGACAACAAGAGTTAATAATTAGATATAATAAAAATATTTAAACTTTGTAAAGAATTTTGTGTATAAATAAATATCAATTATACTTAAAATTGATTAATATAGTTACAGACTTTTATCTTACCTAAATATCAAAGTCAAAATTTTCAAATATGCTTAAATTGTCATAGCTTTGTAATTTATTTACAGGTTTGATTCATACTTGGCAAAAAGAACACACATGATACAACATGTATGAACTAAATTATCAGAACTTTGTTATTTTGGATTTTATTCATTTTTGTACATTCAAATTTGATCTTGACCTTCCACTTACCTTGCCAATTAATGCTGTACGCCTCCAGATGAGCCAAATGTTTCAAGAAAATCAATATTGAGAAAAATGTACAAACATTTTAAGAAAGGTAAAACATTCAAGAGCCAAGTTAAATTTTTCATGTAAGGTGTGTGTAAGGACTGATTTTGCGATATTTTATCACCATATTTTCTACTGCGTTACTAACACAGTAAGGGCTGATTTTGCATATGTTGACCACTTTTTGGTAATTTTCTTGGATTGTAAGTGCCAATTGAAAAATGAAAATTACTTTATTTGTTCACATGCCAATATACATGTCTAAATTTTCACGAAAATTTACATGAATCTGGAGGTGTGCTGCTTTAAGGTCAAATATGAAATTATAATATTTATTTATTTACAGGAAAACTAATGGTTACCAGGAGTACTCTGATATTCGTCATCTTATTTGATTTAGACTTAAAAGATCAGATGAATGAGATGATTTTGACTTAAACGATCAGAAAAAAGTTGGGTGTGGCCCTTGCTGAACTGTGGATCTTGTTTAGTTTTACTTTAAATGTCATGATATGTTTTTCTTTCAATTAAATATTATTCATTAATTTCCAAACAAATAGAAACAAAGTAATTGCTCAGAAAACAATACTATTTGTTATACATGATAACATTAACTTTATGTTGCATGATGAAAATGTTTTTTTCTGTTTCTTCAGGCAGATCATGACTATGTTCATAAGCCTAGACGTAACCTTATACAAACAAGCAAAAAACTTGATTGTCCTGCAAAAATTATTATCAGGTCAATAGTACGATTTCCAGATTATAAGGTAATGCCACTCTTAATTATGTTTCCATATTTCAGGCAAAAGCAGGCAGTAACCTGAGTATAATCTTAAACCTCTTAAAGCTTCTTACATGAATAAATCCAAAGTCCCTGGCAGGGTTTGAAACCTTACTACCAGTAGTGAAGAGCAAATGGTACTATCTTTAAAAAGTTTGCAAAGCTGATCCAGTATATGACAACTGATTGCTTTTCACTTATTTGTAGTCAATAATGCAAAAGATGGTGACTGTGTAAACATAGAAACAGATATGTTTGATATATTAAAAAGTATCCTCATATCCCACAAACAACATATTTTGACTTCTGTATAGTAATTTACATAGGTTGTAAGTGCCATTGATAATAATGTAAATTGCCTTCTTTTGGAATCTTTACAATATTATACTGTTACATGCGTTTTCAAATTTTCATGAAAATTAGCATGAATCTGGAGGTGTGCTGCTTTATTGAAAATTAATAAATACATGAATTTAACTATTTTCAGAAATTTCAATGATACTAACACTTTCATCCTGATGTATATGAGAAGGCAAAATAAAATTATATGGTGTACATTAACAACAATTACTCAACATATGTTAATGACAGGAACATGTTTTTCATTTGCTAGTAACTTCAACAGTTGATTTAACTGTGATACTCAACAATATTCATTACCTTTCTGAATAATTTCATATTGATTAATTTTCCAGTCTTGCCCAGAATTATATAAAAGAAGTTTGTGTAAGAGAGGCTTTGTTGTCAATCGTCTCAAAAACCTTAAAATTAAGGTACAGTGAATCGGAGGTTTTACTGACAGACACTGAAGATCAGTCAGTAATTGTGGCTTTGGAGAGGGGTTTTAAGAAATGTAAGTTTATGCTGTTTATTATATTATAAAAGTGATTTATTGTTATTGGGCCATTTTAGCTTCATTAAGTGTCACTCAGTTCTTGAATCATACCAAAGATTTTTTAAAAGTAAATTATGATCATTAAATTATTTTTGCTTGTTGATAACAAAATTTTATCTTTGACTGTGAAATGTCAATGCATCTTTTTAAATTGAATTTCTTGTAAAAAAACATCCATGATTGTGATGCAAATGGTTGAGGTTGCTGATTTCAGATAACCTTCACTTTAACACTGTGGTTTCAAATTCTGCCAATTACACTGGATACTTTCATGTGAGAAAGATGTCCAGTAGCTTTTGGAAATTAGTGGTTCTACTCTTGGTACCTGTTTGTGCCTTAATAAATAATGCATGAAGGGCCACCTGAGGTCTTCACATAACAAGTCAGTGTCACCAAAATCAACACATGTAATAAAATAGTAAAAAAATATGTAGAATTCAGTGTAAAGTTTGAACTAGATGCTAAAGAAAATATGCTTCCTTCAGAAAGGTAAAATTTACACTACAGAATTTAAAATCTCAAACCTGTTTATTCTTTTACAGGTAAGATGAACAAAGAAAAGTGGTGTGGGAAGCTAGATTCTTTTAAGGTACAATGTGAAACAATGGCTGTTTTGATTTTCTTGATTTTAATTGTTTTTAGCTAGACTATTAGCAGAATAATCGAGCTAATGCAGTCACCCATTTGTCGGCGTCCCTGTGGTTAAGTTTTTGCTAGTGAGCTGGTATCTCCATAACTATTGAAGGGAATGGATTGAAACTTCACACACTTATTCTCTGTGATTATCTAAGATGATTGGCACAAGTCCCATAACTCTGATTTGCTTTTTTCCATAATTATTCCATAATTATGCCCCTTTTTCAACTTAGAAATTCTAGGTTAAGTTTTGCTTATAAGCTGGTATCTGCAGCTAACTACTGAAGGGTTTGTGCCTATTTTGGAACAATTTTATGCATTCATGATATTAAAGCAGAGATTAACTCGATAAAACATCGTAATAACAAGCCTTTGTACCTTTTCAGACAATTATATGTATTCATATAGGTAAGCATTATTTTTCTCAATAAAACACCCTTGTGACAACTTTTGGAATAGTCGAACGTTACTGTCCTCTGACAGTTCTTGTTATTATCATTGTTTTTTTGGGGTCTTTTTGCTTATTATATTACCCTGGACATACAGTAATTGAACACATCTGCCTGTCTGTTTCATACTAAGAATGCTACAGGAACAAAATTATTGTACTTTGTCTTTGATGTCATTCATTCTTCTTATTACACACTTATCAATACGAAATACATGTTCTTGGAAAGTTACATAACTATTGCTTCCAAATATTCCAAGTTATTGTCCTTTTTACTCCTTGCCGAAAGGTGGCTGGGGATATAGAAATAGTCTCCTTCTGTCCGACATTTTTTTCCAGAGCATATTTTAAAAAGTGTTTAAGGTATCAACTTGAAACTTCCTAGGTGGATCGATCATATTGAGGAGGAGTGCATTGCATAAGAATGATAAGTCTACCTTGTATAATTTTTCAGTTATTGCCCTTTGTTATTTTTCAAACTAAATTTTTGTCCAGAGTATAACTCAAAAAGTTTATGAGATATCAACATGAAACTTCAAAGGTTGATAGATCTCACTCAGGAGGTGTGCAGTGCACAAGAATGATAACTCTACCCTTCATAATATTTGAGTTATTGCCCTTTGTTATTTTTTTTAGCTGCACCTGTCACAAAAGGACAGGTAGAGCTTTTGTGATCGCTTTTCGTCCGGCGTCCGTCCGTCCGTCCGTCCGTCCGTCGTCCGTCCGTCGTCCGTCCCGTCCGTAACTTTTGCTTTAAATGACATCTCCTCATAAACCACTAAGCCAATTTCATCCAAACTTCACAGGAATGTTCCTTTGGTGGTCACCTTTAAAAATTGTTCAAAGAATTTAATTCCATGCAGAACTCTGGTTGCCATGGCAACCAAAAGAAAAAACTTTAAATATCTTCTTTTAAAAAACCATAAGAGCTAGAGCTTAGATATTTGGCATGAAACATCTTCTAGTGAGTGTCTACCAAGTTTGTTCAAAGAAAAGCCCTGGGGTCAAAATTGGCCCCGCCCCTGGGGTCATTGATTTTCCCTATATGCATATAGTAAAAAACTTAAAAAATCTTCTTTTAACAAACCGTAAGAGCTAGAGCTTAGATATTTGGCATGAAACATCTTCTAGTGAATGTCTACCAAGTTTGTTCAAATAAAAGCCCTGGGGTCAAAATTGGCCCCGACCCAGGGGTCATTGATTTTCCCTATATGCATATAGTAAAAACTTAAAAAATCTTTTTTTAAAGAACCCAAAGAGCTAGAGCTAAGATATTAAGCATGAAACATTTTCTAGTGAGTGTCTACCAAGTTTGTTCAAATTAAAGCCCTTGGGTCAAAATTGGCCCCGCCCCGGGGTCATTAATTTTCCCTATATGCATATAGTAAAAACTTTTAAAGAACCATAAGAGCTAGAGCTTAGATATTTGGCATGAAACATCTTCTAGTGAGTGTCTACCAAGTTTGTTCAAATAAAGCCCTGGGGTCAAAATTGACCCCGCCCCAGGGGGTCATAGATTTTCCCTAAATGCATATAGTAAAAACTTAAAAAATTTTCTTTTAAAGAACCCAAAGAGCTAGAGCTAAGATATTAGGCATGAAACATCTTCTAGTGAATGTCTACCAAGTTTGTTCAAATTAAAGCCCTGGGGTCAAAATTGGCCCCGCCCGGGGGGTCATTGATTTTCCCTATATGCATATAGTAAAAACTTAAAAATTCTTCTTTTAAAGAACCCAAAGAGCTAGAGCTAAGATATTTAGCATGAAACATCTTCTAATGAGTGTCTACCAAGTTTGTTCAAATAAAAGCTCTGGGGTCAAAATTGGCCCCGCCCCAGGGGTCATTGATTTTCCCTATATGCATATAGTAAAAACTTAAAAAATCTTCTTTTAAATAACCCAAAGAGCTGGAGCTAAGATATATTTAGCATGAACATGTTCTAATGGGTGTCTACCAAGTATGTTCAAATAAAAGCCCTGGGGTCAAAACTGGCCCCCGCCCGGGGGGGTCATTGATTTTCCTTATATGTGTATAGCAAAAACTTAAAAATCTTCTTTGGAAAAACCCAAATAGCTAGAGTTTAGATATTAAGCATGAAAACATCTTTAAGTAAATATCTACAAAGTTTGTTAAAAATAAACGCCTGGGGGTCAAAACTGGCCCTGCCCCAGGGGTGACATTGTTTTTAACTATATGTGTATAGTAAAACTTTAAAAATCTTCTTTTAAAAATGCCAATGAGGCTAGAACTTAGATGTTTAGCATGAAACATCTTCTTTTATGGGTGTCTACCAAGTCTGTTTAAATAAACAAAATAAAAGCCCTTGGGTAAAAATTGGCCCGGGGGGGGGGGCCTATATACAGGTGAGCGACCTCAGGGCCATCATGGCCCTCTTGTTTTACTTAATTTTTCACCTGAGTGAGGATAACTCAAAAAAGTCTTTAAAGATGTTAACATGAAACTTCATAGGTGGATAGATCGTATATGAGGAGGAAATGCTGTGCACAAGAATGGTTACTCTACCCATTATAATTTTTGAGTAGGAAAGTATGGCCATTATTATTTTTCATACTTGTTGTCCGGGAGCATATTCTCAAGTGTTAGAGGTATCAAGTTTGAAACTTCATAGGTGGATAGGTCTCATTGAGGAGGAGTGCAGCACACAAGAATCGATAACCTACCCTGCATATTTTTCAGTTATTGCCCTTTGTTATTTTCAGCCATCAGTATTCACATGGGTTTCAAATCTGTAATAACTTCAGCCATAAGTTTCCATTTACCAAAAGACCTCTTAAAATTGAATAACGGGAAAATTGAGCGAAGGTCACCAGTGACAGATGTATTTTAATATTTGGTAGGAAAATAACTTTTGCACTGTCTTCTTTCTTTGGACTGAGTTAGTGATAAGTGGTTCAAGGTCAAGGGTGTCAAAAAAGATTTTTCTTAACATTTCAGGTCATTTGTCAATTATTTGTATTCATAATTTACAAACAAATGGACATGACTGAACTAATGAACTAATGCTTCCTTAATTTGTTTAGGAGGAAAGCAGAATAATAGCATAATGGAGTTCTGTACAGTATTATTCCTGCTACTTCAGTCAGATGATTATCATAAACAACATGGAAATAAACAATTTATTTGTTAATATATTTTATGAAACAGTTAGTATGTAGAAGGCACGGATGGACACCAAGAATAGAACAACCATCTGCTTATCTTTATGATATGACTACTTTAAACAAAGTGCCAACATCTCTTAAATGGGAAGACAACAAAATGAATATTTTTATATATTGTACAAATCATAAATAAAGTTGTTTTCTTCCATAATTGTCTAATATGGCTTTGGAATATTTGATTGTTCCTATAAAATTTGAATTATAATTACAAATGTGTTATGCATTACATCAATTTCACATTTTTGTGTAGACACTTACATGGGCCATTTAGATTTGCCCTTGTCCGTCCGTTCTCATGTTGTGTCACACTTAACTCAAAAAGTATTTGACCTAGAGTCATAAAACTTTACAGGAAAATTAGTCAGCATGTTTATTTGTAAACTGGGTGTTTGTATGTGGTTTTTATACAGTATTTGTAGAATAATTGTACTTTATTTAGTAAAATTTGCTATTTTCAACTTGTGTCGCACTTATATCAAAAAGTATTTGATCTAGAGTCAGTAGATTGACAAAACAATGGAATGTAGGGGCACTTGTATCCTATGGACACAATTCTAGTTTCATCTTTCAATTGGTTCAAAAGAAGTGGCCTCCAATATGTTTACCTTAGGAAATTTGAAAACTCAGGTGTGACCCTGCTTGTGGTGATTGTTGTTTAAAAATGTACATTCCATGTTAAAATATCACAAAAATATTTCGCCTGTATTTTTTATACATATTGGTTTTGATTCATACAAAGTTTTGAGTTGTCTTTGTTTATAAAAATGTTTTTTCTTCCATTTTTATTGATTAGTTTTGTGTTTTTGGTCATTTTTATTTTAATAAAGAAATGAGCTGTTGAGTATTTTTTTTGTTGTTCATTTTTTTGGTTTAAAAATTAACAGAAATATGGCCTTGGTTGTTGCTGTTTCCACAAAAGGTTAGATTTATAAAAATCAACTTTTTGGGGTATTGTCCATGACCTAACTAGTCAATGAAGTAAAGCTTTCATTTTATGGTCACTTCAATACGTTTAAGTCAAAACGTGGATAAACTGATAAGTTATGCCTGTGGACAAGTTGTCGCACTGATCAAGTTCACGGTTTGCCTTTAATGGGTTATAGTCAATTTTCTCATCCAATTACCCAAAAGGTAATTTTACTTTTAAATTGGTGTTCACTATGATCAGATGGGATGTTAATATCAAAAAGGCAGAGCTCCTTAAAGGGTTATATTATGCTGATTGAAAACCAAAAATTGATTAGTATTTTAAACGGCATTTTCCAGTTTTTCTTCTTCCGTATGAAGATTTACATACATTAAGGAAAAATTGAGATAACAAAATAAAATGCCGGCATAAATTTACTGTTTGTCGGCATCGCCTTTAGCAATTACAGTTATTTTTGAAGACTTTCTATGTTCAATCCACAATTTTCATTTTATTCTTTTTTTTCTATCATAATTTATTAACGGATTCAAACCACATTCAAGCCAATTCATGCAGTGTAAGTTGTAATTAACACTTCTTTCTAAAGCAAGTATATGTAAAGCTGCGGTTCTCACCTCACTCCCGGGGCAGACCCAGGACCATCCCCGGTTGTAAAGCTACTTGGGATGATCCAGGATGAAAATTATTGTTGCGGTCACCACTTACCCCAACAGCACTACGGTAATTCCAAAACTAACTACCCAGGATGGCACTCTCCGGGAACCACCCAGGCAGAATCCAGGCGAAGCTACGGTTTATGCCGCGGTACTTCTTCGGTTGCGCTCCCGGATGACTGAATTATCTCTGTTATCCAAGGCAGAGCCCCGGTCGATCCGGGCAGAGCCCGCGTAGTATCTCAAGTATTATGAAAACGTCTTCCGCACATATATTATACTATTATACATATTATATTTTATTTAACAAAATTTAAATAGTTCCAGAACAGTAATGCATGATGATTATCTGAAAAATCTTACGCAAGACGGATAGAAATGGAAATGGGAAAGGGGTATAATCAAACAAGTGCAATCAATCGCCAAATTGTCGTGGTTCTTTTGGAATAAACCGGGCTATATCTTTTCTACCGGGATCAACCTTAGCTCCATCGTCATCCTCCGGGTCTGCCTGCCATTTTCCGAGCTCTGATGGCATTCTCCGGGGCTCTGCTAGCATTCACAAGGGCTCTGGCCGTAAGCTCTACCGGCCATATTTCATCACCCGGTTGCACAGCTCCCCCCCCCCCCCCCTGGAGCAAAGGGTTTCCCGTTAACCGGCTTCCCCGGGGCCAAAAGGCTAAGGATAAAGGGGGGGTTTCAAATACCAGATGTTTCGGGGAACCCCGGAAATTTGCTGGCCCAGATTTACGGACCTTTTCCCAGATCCCCTGGACGTTACGGGGGCTTTTTCCCGGGGATGAATTTGAGACGTATTTAAAAAATTATGTATTGATTTAAATCAGGCATCGAAGCAGGTGCCCTTTCCAAAAACGTTTGGGGTTCGTTTTTGCTCAAACAACTTTCTTAACGTAATTTTACTCCCTTTTTTAAAATTTGTTTTTAAAAAAATTTTTTAAAGAAAATGTTATACATGTAATTTTAAATTTAAACCCCCGAAAGACCTTAATCCTATATTTTTATAATGTCACTTTTTTCAAAAACCCTTTCATTTATGAATCAGAAGACACTTTTCCCTATAACTTGCATTTTTTTGTAAAAAAAAAAATTTTCTTTAAATGGCTATCACGAAATAGAAAAATGGATTTAAAATATACAAGAAAAGTACATAATTTACATTCAGACAAAAAAATTTGTCTACATCCAATCCCGGTTTTTCCGGGAATTTGCTTTTAAAAAATCCCTTTCAAAGGGATACCCCAAATTTCCATTTTTACAGTCTAACCCGGTAGGCCTTTTTCCCCTAATATGATCTTAAAAGGGGAAAAAAAAAGGTAAAACCCTCCAAAAATTGGGTTTTTTCGTCATTGAATTTTAATACTCTTTTAGTTTTAGGCCCGAACTGTTTTTTTTATATAAATTAAAGAAAATGCGGAGGGGGTAAGGGGTTTACCTAAAATTTAATTTATTAGGGGATACATCGAAAGCATGTAATCTCAATTTCAAAATTGCATTTTATTCAGGTGCGGAAGGTGCCCCTCCAAAACAGGGTTTGTCGTCTTTTTTTTAAAAAAGAAAAAACTTTTAAATTTTGGTGTAATTGGTTAAAACCCTTTTAAAAAAAGTTTTGCCTTAACCTCAAAGTCGCCCAATTAAATTTAAAAGTCAATAATAATGTGTCGTCTGGGAAAGAAGTGGAAGAGCCTGGTTGCCCCAGGCGACCGGGAAAAACCCCCCGAAACCCTTTAAGGGTTGAAAACGGGGGCAACATGATTACTTTGATACAATTTTTTTTTTTAAAATAAAGAACAGTAATGCATGTTTTTCTGAAAAACCCTTTACCCCAAGACTGGACAGAAGGGAAAGGGAAAGGGTTTATAAAAAACAAGTGAAATAAATCGCAAATTCCCTTTGGTTTTTTTGGGAATTTCCCTAATATTGGGTTGTTTTGCATTGATTTTAGTCTCTTCAGATTATGGCGAATTTTTTCATTTTTAAAAATTTCGGGTAACTTTGGGTTTAGGGGTTTTAATTTCCCTACAATATTTATTCAGGGTAAAACTTTCGGGCAGAAACATTTTCAAGTTTAGTTTGAATTTTAAATTCCCAGGTACTGGGGAAAAGGTGACCCCCAAATACGGGGGTTGTCGTTTTTAAAATTTTTACCAAAGACAAACTATTTATTTTTAAATTTGGTTTAAATTTTTTTAAAAAAGGGTTTGCCTTCCCCTAAAATGGGGACAATTATTAAAAATTCCCCTTAAATTTAAATAGTCAATCATAATTTTTACTTTCGCTCCCGGAGGGACGCGGGAAAAACCCCTATGGGTTGGCCCGGGCAGCCCCCCGGGTCGTTTCCGGGCAAAAGCCCCCGTAAAATCCAATTTGGTTTTAAAAACCCCGGGGAACAGTTTAATTTTTTACATTGAACAAAATTTTAATTTAATAAAAAACAGTAATGGCATGATGATTTTCTGGAAAACACTTACGCAAGACTGGATAGAATGGAAATGGGAAGAGTATACAAAAACAAGTGCAATCATTGCAAATTGTCTGGTTTCTTTTGGAGATGAAACCGGGCTTTATATGGCTCTACCGGGATCACCTTAGCTCCATCGTCATCCTCCGGGGCTCTCCCCCTGCATTCTCCGGGAGGCTCTGCTGGCTTCTCCGGGGGCTCTGTCAGCATTACAAGGGGGCTCTGTCGTAGCTCTACCGGCTATATCATCACCCCGGATCATACCCGGTTTCGTGCCGGGACAGAGCTACGGTGCTTCCCCCGGGTGTAACCCCGGTTTCGTTCCCGGCAGAGCTAAGGATGAAGCCGGCGGCAAAGCTTATTACTCCCCGGGTTTATCCCAGGACCACCCCGGTTGAATTCAATATATTTGTATTTCCGGGGTCGAATGCCAGATGTTTCGAGGATCACCCCGGCTTTTTTGGCAAAAGTTAGGGTTTATTTGAAACCCGTTTCCCAGATCCCCTGGACGTCAAACCGGGGCTCCCCGGGGATGAAAGGGTGAGACGTGTAGTTTAAAATTTATTATTGAAATTTCAGTCGGGATCGAAAGCGGGTGAACCTTAAAAAAGCGTTTTGGTCCGTTTCCCCCAAAATACAGTTTTAAACGAAATCTTACCTTTTAAAGTAATTTTTTATACAAAAAATTTTAAATTTAAATGTTTTAACATGAAATTTTTTAAAATTTTTAAACCCGCAGACATTACATCCGTATTTTGGTTGTTAACTTTTTTAACATAATTGTCACTTTTTTTCCAAAACCCCTAAATTTAGAATAAAAAACATCACAAATTCCAAAACTTGCATCTTTTGTAAAAAAAAAAAAGGTTCAAAAAATGGCTATACAGTAATAGAATTTAAATGGTCTTAAATATACAAGTAAAGTACCATGATTTTACATTCAGGACAAATAAACATGTCTATGTACATCCAGATACTGGTTGTCAGAATTGCATTAAAACAATGCACTTTTCTAGGGATTACAATCATTTCAGTTTACAGTCTAAACCCGGTAGGCTATACAACTATATATGATCTTATAAGGGTATAAAAGGTTGAACCTCCATATATGGGTTGTCGTCATTGATATATTTACTCTATCAGATTATGGGGCTAACTTTTTTCATGTTTAATAATTACAGGTAACATGCGTTAGGGGTTGTAATTTATAACCTAAACAATTACTTATTCATGGTGAAAACATTCGGTAAGCATTTACTTCTTCAAGTTTAGATTGCCACTTTATTCAGGTGCTTGGGGCAGGTGACCCTCCATACACGGTTTTGTCGACTTTATTT